GCTCTGGGACTATTAGACCACTACTTGTAGACTAAAGTTTATATAACACTACAGAAGAAGAACCAGTATTCTCAATAAGAAGCCATCCTGATGATTAAAGCTCAAGTTTCTTGCACCACAAAGCATTTCCATAAGAAGCCTAGAATTGAGATAAAGCTTCTTAAATCTCTACTGAAATAAAACTGAAACATATATTTCATTTTAGGGAAGCGTGTCCTCAGGTTTTATCATTAAATTACAGCTGCCTATGTTGGTATTTATAATGCTCTATGGATGATTGAAAATGAATCAATAGAAATAGAAATAAAGAGAAATAAAATTTCACTAACAGGATCTGGAATTAATTCCCTCTCCTCCACCTGGCTTAACTTACAAGGTAATACACAGTCCTCAAGGAAAATAATTAGCATCTTGCATGGCAAAAGGCCTAGTCTCCAACTTGGAACTAGGAAGACATAAATACACTTGCACAAAATACTTTGTATATGTTAAACAATTGTTTTGAGATACATGATATAAATTTTAAACACCTGCTGACCAACTAAACCATTTGCTACATGTATGGGAACTGCTGAATCACTGCCTGAACCTCTGATTGATTACCTGAGGTGAGCAATGAGTCAACCACGGGAGCACAGGTGAAGGCAATCCACTTGTGCTGCCGGAAGGAGTGGAGCCTGGCTGCACCTCTTCTAGACCCACTTAAGAGTTGACTACCAGTAGGGAAGAATCTCTTCTGGAGATCTCTCCTCTGGAGTTTTGTAGTGAGCCCAGGATGTGGGTAAGCATTCTATCTAGTCTCTTTTTGTTATTGTAACCTGCTTAGCCAAACTCTTGTTTATTTCATAATTATAACATCTGTATATTCATTGATGATACACTACATGACTATGAACCAGGCAGACAACAGCAAATGCTTGTATTAATATGAAAACAGCTCTTACCATTTTCTCCAACAAAGGCCACTTCTGCTATTATACCAACTAACATGGTACTGTGCTGTTCAGCCTGATCAGCTGACCAAATGCTCCAGCTCCTTTCACTAATTCAGCAACAAAATACTTAGCCACTGCAGTGGTCTCATGGTGCTTGTTGCCAGCTACAGAAGGACCCTAGAGAAGGCAGAACAAGACAGTATAGAAAGTAGAACTTTGTTACATGTGCTCATTAAAGAAGGAGCTGCTCAAACTGAAATAACCCCAGAACCCGAGTACACTCATACAGTTAGTAACCATAATGATCCAAGAGACAGTTGCAGCTTTACGTACATTTCGAGCCTGTTGAGAAGAGGCAGAAGTTTCTAATATCAAAATGCTAGATCTAACCTTCAAAGCAGTGACTATTTTTGTTATTGTATAATAGAAAACAATCGATTTTGAAACTGTGTTGTTTAATTACAAGATCAAAGAGTTGATTACAGTTCAGATGTTCTCTTTAGTTCATCAAAGGTTTGAGTAATAGCAAGAAGGTACAGAAGGAATAACGAGAGGCTGTCTGTCTCAACTGCGCTCTTTCCTAAGACAAACTAAATCTTGAGTTATGCAAGCTGAACAAAATACATCTCAGTAAATATATTTCATACCTTCTCCCACTTCAGTTCCCTTGGAAGAAGTAATACTATGTTTTTTCACACACTGGTGTTCATAAAATCCTTCAAAGATTTACAAACAGTTATCCTCATGGCCGGGAGTGCTGTCATGCTCAGTGCCTGCTGGAGGGCAAGCTACATGAGTCATCTGCAGGGGCCAGCCTGTTTGGCCTTGCTGGGCTGCAGGTGGCTACTTCGGTACTTCATGGATCCAGAGGAAGCTTGGACACACACATGCTCAAACACAAAATGACACTGAGGAACCCAAAACATTTTTCTCTCAAGCTTGCGCTTTTAAAGCTAGTCGTAAGATCTCTGGTAACATGAGACCACCTCTTAAAGGAAACCAAATTGAGATGTTATAAGGAACAAGTAGGAAATAGGTAAAGAATAGCAAACCAATATGGACAAAGCTAGGAACTACAAACTCGAGGAAGCAGCTCGTTGCAGTCCAATCATCAACCTGCTCCCATGATGCCCGCTAATCACGCTCCTCGGTGCCACATCTCCATGTTTCTTGAACGCCTCCAGGGATGGTGACCCCACCACCTCTCTGGACAGCCTGTGCCAGTGCATCATCACTCTTTCTGAGAAGAAACGTTTCCTATATCTGACCCAAACTTCCCCTGGCACAACTTAAGGCTATTACCTCTTGTCCCATCACTATTCACATGAAAGAAGAGGCTGACCCCTGCCTCACTGCCACCTCCCTTCAGGCAGTTGAAGAGAGTGACAAGGTTTTCTGAGCCTCCTCTTCACCAGACTGAGCAATCCCCGTTCCCACAGCCACTCCCCATAAGACCCATGTTCCAGGCCCTTCATAGCTTTGTTACCCTTCTCTGGACACATTCCAGGATCTCACTGTTTGCCTTATCCTGAGGGGCTCAAAACTAAATACATACTTGAAGTAAGGCCTTACCAGTGCCACGTACATGGGGATAATCACCTCCCTGCTTCTGTTGGCTGCATTATTTCTGATACAAGCCAGGATGCTATTGGCCAACTAATATCCCCAGATTCTTTTCCTTTGTGCAGCTTTCCAGCCAAAATGAAGATATGGTAAAGCAGAACATACCTATAGCACTATATGAAAATCAGAAAATGAACCATCTGCAAAATGAGTTCATAGAATGAGCTGCATGTGCATTAGACATAATGACACTTGAAGGCCACTGGCTGTAGTGAGGGAACTTCTATATGGAGTCACATGAAAGGCAGTGAGAAATACCTCAACAGCAATGCAAATGATGGGGAAAGGAGTTCATGCAGCACCTACCAAAGAGATAACTCAAGAAATGCACCATTTTCTGCAAGGACACTTCTGTGCCAATGAGCTCCAGACTAGCCCTGCAAGAAGGACCTTCCCTGAAGCAGGGCCAGAAAGTCTGTACGGAGTAAATCCAGGCACTGAGGGTACACAGAGGTGGCTTTGTTAATTTTCCTGGCAAAGGTGAGACTACAGAGCTGCTGAAGCCTGGCTTGGTTTGCTGCTGCTCGACGTGTTCAGAGTGCTGGGCTGAATCCCAGCAGTGCTAATTGTGTCTCTAATTACTTCTGATGGCAAAGCAAAGCTAACTGACACAAACTGTATTGTAGGGCATCTTCCTGTCACTCAGATGAGCAGACTGTCCACAACTTTTGAATCCTGTCCCATATACAGGGAGCATGTGTTTCCCAGGATAAGTGGAAGAGTTCTACTACGTCATTTACAAAAACCATAGGCCCCTGGAGAGCAGTAACCTTGCTCCACAACTTACAGGCAATTTTACAAGAAACGACCAAATTTCAGAGGCAGAAGTTAACAGATTTGGCAACAGATAATTTTGTTGTAACTGGCTGTCCTTGCACAAACCACTTAAGGAAAGCGTATTGGTTGAAAGCCATAAAGTGCATATACATAGATGGAGCGTCATCATAGAATCATGCAAAAGCAGGCTGGGTTATGCCATGCTAATGTTTTCTTTATCAGTGTTTGTATGAGGCTAAGAGCACGTGTTTGCTCTTTTCACATGTTGGTGGTAGACCTCTGAGATGCTAGGTTAAGTTATGCTGCATATGCAGTACAATAAAAACAGCTTTAGAAATCCAGTACTCAAAGAAAACGAAAATGTTGCTTGTTATGTGTTCTTTATTATGTCTCACCTTAGCAGGGTGGTTTTTTATTGTTGTTGTTTTTAATACAGATAGTCTCCAACCTTTCTAGGACTGTATCTTGCAAAATTGTCTGAGATCTTCAATTTACCTTCTCAGCTACTTATACAAAAAAACTGTCAGGTTTGCCCTAGAAGCAAATTTTTCCTTTCTTTCTCAATTGTTCTCAGTCCTCTCCTGATAAAAAAAAAATACAACTTGGAATTAGTTTACATAGAAGATACGTTTAAAAATAACCTTTAACAGAGCCTACAGGAGCTTGTTGGTTTTGCTTGACAAACAATTTCCAATTCAAAGTTGCATGATCTTACACCATTAAAACAGAGCAACTCTTGCAACATGGCCAGCATCCAAATAAAAATCAAGTAACATTTATTACCAATATGACATAACTTCTGTTTAAAGAGAGAAGGGATTTCAAACAGGTTAGCTGAAGCAGCAGGATCTGCACAGAAGGATTTTATACAGAACTGCCTGCACTATACAGCATTCTTTTCTTCAGATGAAAAACAAACCTTTCTGTTTGATAGTTACCAACTACTTCCAAGATAGTTTTCCTTTTATTTCAGCGTAAGACAGACAATTCTCATTGCAGATCAGAAGATTCCTGTCTGAGTCTAAAGGGAAGCTCGTGGCAATTTTTGTTAGCAAAATGCACAAGTTGCCATGCTGCAATTCTGGAACACGATAATCAAATAAAGTAGCCCGAACAATAACTTCCAACAGAGTAAGGTTCCCAACACAGACAGCATTACCCGCAGCTGTATCAGCGCTGTACCCGCAGTGAGGAAGAGCCGAAGTGACACGAGGCCGGCAGTTCGCCAAGCGGAGCGCCTTGGCCTCGGTGCTCCCTGCAGGCAGCGATCAGACCGCCTGCACGCAGCGCACCGCAGCGCAGCCTCCGGGCCCGTGGGAGCAGCAGCACCGCAACCACGCGAGGATCGACGAAAGCGGACTTACAGACATCCTCACAGGCCTGGGGACGCGCGGTGAGAGAAGGGGAGACGAAGGACCCAGGCGATATGCCGTGCAGCGGGAGTCCCGCTGCCCCTAGGCGTTCTGCGCGGGTATGACAAAAAAAAAACAACAACCCAAACTCTGCGTGAACAGCCGCGCAGCCCAGCGCCATCCTGGAGCCGGGCGGCTCTCACGAGGAGCCCTCCTACGGAATCAGCATGACCGAACCACCGCATGCCCCTACGACTACATCTCCCGTCGGGCACTTCGCCACGGCACCGCCAGCGCCGACAGCCAATCCTAGCTCGAACCCAGAATGCGTCGCGGCTCCGCGCAATGCCATTGGCTGAATTTGAAAACAACGCGCGAACGTTAGCGGGCGTGCTCTTTGGACAGCGGTGGCGCTGCGCGCAGGTGGGCGGCGCAGGGGGGCGCTTGGCACGGGATCTGAGGGTGCGGATGGCCAGCGCGGTGCGGGCACGGGCCTCCGAGGGCCGTGGGACTGAAGCGAGGGGCGGTGGCGGACCGATTGGCGGGGTACTGCTGTCTCCTCCCGTGCCACGAAGGTCCTGATGGCGGGTGAAGGCTCGCCGGAGGGGGTGGGGCTGAGGTCTCCTCCAGCCCCCTGCGGCTGCCCTTGCATCCACTGGCAGCCCCTCCTGGCGAGGACAGGCCGACGGGAGAGCACTTCTTCCGCGGTGGTATCTACAATTTCCGCCTCGGGACGTCCGAGGTGTCCACAGCGCAGTCGTGCCTGACAGGGGCAGCTGGGCGTTCGGCATTTCGCAGCGATACCGATGCCAGCGTAACTCTCACATGTAGGGCTACTGTTCCAGCTCTGCGTGCGGCGCACCGCTTGCTTCTGCTTCTCAAACGAGAAATCACAGCACGAGAGCAGGATCCTGCTAAATGCCGCTTTGCGAGCAGCCATCGCTGAACATGAAGCGGCGGTTATGAGACGTGCGGCCCCTTTGGCGGCGTCGGCGATTTGCGGTTGCCTAGCGACCTGCGGGAGCGACCGTGCATGGCGCGTCCTGCTTCAGACAGCGTTTGCAGAAGCTCGGCCGGTATTTCAGGGCGGGCTTTCCCCTGTTTGAAAGCTGTAGGGAGAGGGAAGGGAACGCCTGGCCCGTTCCCTTCAGCGTGACTTTCGGCGATGTCTGCCTAGCCCTGTCCGACTCGGTAGCTGCGTTTTGCTGGTCGGGTAGGAGGGCTGAGCTGTGTGTTGCTCCATGCCGGCTTTTTGTGCTGCTCGCGGAGATCAAAAACGTGACTGCGTGAGAGGCAGCGCTGTCAGCGAGCGAAGGGCCGTGCCCCAGCGCTGGTCCCATCGGCCGCTTTAACCGCTGAAGTTTATCAAACGTTTCCTATTCCCTATTAGCACTTACGGACACTGTATGTGCGCTGCTGGAGCTTGGCGTGAGGGTTTAGGGTTGCAAGGCGGCTGAATCGCTGTCCAAGCTGTAGGAAGCCGGGCAGCACCAAGCGTTAGGGTGCTTTTTGCCGTGGTAGATGAGTGATATCCTGACAAGCTATTTCAGAGGGCAAATATAAACTGCAAAGATGGCACCTGTGGTATCAGAGGAAGAAGTAGCAGGAGAATGAAGTGTGGGCAAAATGCGCAGGTATTTGTATGTCAGATGTGCGTCTTAAGGGTTATTTTGGTGTCCTGTCACGCTGAATCAATTACACTTTCCTTTTCTGTAGCAGATCACTGCTGAGACTGAGATGCACTGAAGGAGTTAAATTGCGGATTTAAAAGCCAACAGTTGTACTCTGGCATGAGGTTTTCTGATGTTTAGTATCCTCTTAATACCAAAGCTACCTGTTAGACTTCACAGTGCCTCTGAGTCCTGCCTTGTGTTCAGCTGCATTGGGCTATCCTTTTTCATACCAACGATTGATTAGGTGCCACAGGGATAAGCCATTGCAATGTTCTATTGCGATAAGCTTTTATTCCAAAAGGAGACTCGAACTGCAAAATGAGATGACGGGAAAGGTTATGTGGAGCGGCCTGCTTTTACTAAATGGTATCTGTGACTATTTCCATCAGCCATCATGGCTCTAGGAAGGCGGTGCTACATGCAAAAGGCTTTTTCCCAATGGGCGGTTGTGGTGTGATTTAGTCTGACAGGCAGCTCGGCACCACAGGGTTTGCTCCTTGTAGGGAGATGGAGGGGAGAATAGGAAAAAGGTTACACTTGTGGGTTTGAGATAAAGAAAGTTGAGTAGAACAGAAAAGGACGACGAAGCAAGAGTCAGTCCACACACACAAAGCAAACTGCAGATATCACTTAGTCTCATATTTCCTAACTGAGCTTAGGAACTCTGCATCATGCATTGAAAGAGCAAAGAATAATTTCTTTTTGTATCATCTTGCAGAATGGAAACAAATTCAGAAGAAGATAAAATTTTGAGACCATCCTATGTAGCTGGCATAGAGCTTCCAGAAAGAACAGGACTGGTAAATGTGGAAGACATAAAAACAAATCTCTCTGATGAGTTTAGTTCAGTTTCTTCAAGCTCAGACATGAGCCAGGTAAGAAAGCTTCAATATTAAAATTAAATGGAACTTGTAAAAGAAACTTCATTCTTTTCATGGTAGAAGAATTAGAATCTTGAAGAAGAGATGACAGTCATCTGTGCCTTTAGACTATGCGTAGATACGTGTGTGTGTGTTGCTTTGATACCTTATGAGGTGCACCAGTCTCGGTGCGTGAAGCTGACGTCACTTCAGAGAAGCAGAGTGATGGAAGACTTGTGCTTATAGTTGGCCTGAATGCAGTACATGAGTGTACTGCAGTATTATTTGTTTTGAAACTCTAGGCTCTCACAAGGAAGTTTAGCTGGGGCCAAAGCACTTGTGAAAACAGAGTGAAATATTCGTGCTTCCTGTGTCATCAAATGAGTCTGTTACAACAGGCTGATGAAAAGAATGCTGTGTAAATGTGCTAATCATCAAAGAGAGGATCTAGTCAGATTTGTAACTTCCAGCTCTTTCAATTTTAGACGTCTAGTTTGGAGCCTAGGGGACACATACAAGTTTGCCTGCGCATTAAGCCCTTTACAGCACTGGAAAGAGCAAATGGATCACAGGTAGGACATTTACTTAATCTTAACACTAAAAACAAACAAACAAAAAAAGCAAACTACCAAACAAAAGAAAACAAACAACCCTTAACGTATACTTGTTTACTTTTCCCCTTATGATGATCTTTTAAAACACTTTTGATGCCTACATTACTTGTGCTTCCTTTTAATAGGGGTGTGTTTCACTTGAGGACTCAACAAGCGTTATACTGAAACCCCCTAAGAGCTCCTGGAGTCGACCGACTGAGAAAACTGCAGGACAGGCGATACAGAAATTCACCTTTTCACGAGTAAATGAATTTTCTTTAAATGCCTCTAAGTTATTTGTGGAAGATGTTGCTTGTCTTCTGTTACTTAATATACAACAAACAAGTTTTTCTTCAGAATTCTCTGTATGATTATAAGCGTGTATCTGACTGCTACAAGTATGTAAGGATTGCTTAAACAATCTAAAGAGATTAACCAGCTTCTTGGTAACGTTCAGGTGTTTGGACCTGAAGCAACTCAAGAAGAATTCTTTGAAGGTACAGTGAAGCAGCCAGTGCTAGACTTCCTAGAAGGATGTAATCGCCTTGTTTTTACGTATGGCATTACAAATGCTGGGAAAACCTACACATTCCAAGGTAAGAGTAGAATTTTGTTTTTTTCCTTGAATTAGTTTCTTAAAGCAGGATTTACTTCAGATTATTTCAGAGAGGGGAGGAAGCCTGGAAAACAGTTGAAAACTTGCATATTTGTTAAATGTGGGATTTTGCTGCGTTTTCTTTTCCCCCTTCTCTTATGGCTAAGCTGATGCAGTATATCTTGGCTGTTTTCAAGTGATGCCCTGTAATGTCTAAGGAATGGGTTGTGTTTCACTAGTAACACTGCAAACGCTGCTTCAGACTGTAACTGGCCTGTACATTTTTTGTGTGTGCCTTGAGATTCAAATCAGTTATCTTTGTCTTCGTTTAGTTTGTACGTTGCTCATGATAATTACTGGGGCCTTTCTTTTGCTTACAGGGACAGAAGATGATGTTGGTATTTTGCCAAGGACGATGGATATGTTGTTTAAAACTATTGGAGGAAGGCTATACACAAAAATGGATCTGAAACCTATTCGGTGGCGAGATTACATAAAACTGACTAAAGACCAAGTGAGAGAAGAAACTGCTCTTAAAAATTCATTGCTTCGTCTGACAAAAGAGGTAGGAGACTACTTCATAAAGAAACGATGAGTACATGCATCTTGAGGGAGCTCAGTGTGATCCTGTGCATTGTGTGATGAAAGAGGCTTGTGTGTTCTCATGTAGTTGTTTATTCATCTTTCTGTTCCTGTCAAAAAAGAATGAAGCATCTTCTTAGTGGCATGCCACACCATAGTGGGGTATTTCAGTTGTGGAGTTAGATTGATCTTATTGAGGAGTTAGTTAAGTGTGCGTCAAAGGCAGGTGGCAGTCAGGTTCTTTCTGAATAACTTTGAGAGCCCAGGCACGTGTTAAGTCTGGCTGCAATGATCTGTAAGTATGGCGGGGGGAAACAACACCTGTCTTCTACATGTGCATGAACCAAAGCTGTGTAAAACTGTTCCAGGTTTAGTGAGGATGTGGAAAGAAAATGCAGTGAACAGCTGTATGCTGATCTTAACTCTGTAATGGAGTAGGATGAGATGTGATCATGTGCTAGAGGTGCCTCCTCTGGTTTCAAGAGCCATGTTTGTAGGTAGATCACTTGACCTGATAAACTGAGTAGCTGCAAGCTTTGCTGCCTACCCAAAGCCAGATCTGTGTGTTGTGTTGATGAAAATTTCCCAATTTTTCTTCTTAAGCATACTGTGTCTGGTAGGTGAGACTCCTCGTCTTCACTTTGGTTAATGGGAATTTCTTTCTACTTCTGTGCTTTAATAGGAAAAAAAAACAACACTCAGAATCTGAAGCCTGGGAACTGATTATATGTGTGTGAACATCATAAGTTCTGGATGTTGGGAACCATTTTGTATTATTAAGCAGTTTGGACAAAGAAAATAGTATATTTACAATGTTTAGAGTTAATTTCAGTTGTGTAAGACTTTGACAGCCTGTGTTAAGAAGCAATGAGCTGCTTACCTACACTAAATGATCAATTATTCTACCTTAACGTTAGTTTCCAAGAGTTGACCTAATAAGCCATAAGGTATGGAAGTCCTGAATTATGAAAATGACAAAAAGAAAAATACTTCAGGAACCCTAGTTTGATGAAATCGAGGGTAATATGCAGACTACAACCGGGCTGTTGAAAATCATTCTGTTAAGTAACTCCTTCCAGTTTGGGATTCTCCTCCATTTTTTCTTTTTTCCCCCTGTATCGGCGAGCTGTAGTATGTTATAGCAAAGGCAATGCCAGGAATGAGTAGTAAGGTAAAAACACAGGAATGTATGAGTGCACTGAACCAATCATAGTGTACAGCCAGGATTTTGGTGTTGGCATATTGAAGCTATGCTGTATTGCTTTCTGGGAGGGCCATATAGCTGTATTTAAAAAAAAAAAAAAAAAAAAAAAAAAAAAAAAAAAAAACAAACAGGCAACAGGTGGTGTGTTGGTGCTGTACTTCAATAATAAATCCAGAAGTCTCTGTTTTCTTTTGCAGGTAGACCATTGCAATAGCCCTAATGGCAAAGCACCGGCTGATTCTAAGGGTATGTTTTGTATTAAACAGTACAGAAGCTTTTCTAACTGCTAAGGTCAAGAACTGGTTCCTTGCTAATGTTAATAATAGAAGGATTATTTGGCTTTTATTTGTGATGGATTGGAATAATGGGCAGGACATCTGGGCAGAAAACAGAAGGGATGAAGTGGTTAGGAGACTACTTGGACATCTAGCATAACCTGGTGTTAAGCACGAGGTGTAAGTAAAACGAAGAGAAAGAGTATGGCTTGTGATAAGATTCCTAGTGATATTCTGACAGGCTTTTAGGGCATTTAAGAACTACATTAAAAAGCCTTTGAAGAGTTCAGAATATTTCTAACCCAACTAGACACGTTAGATTAGGTTTTGGAAGTGAAAAAGCAAGCTCTAAGCAGATGTGTCTTTGCAAAGATGTAGGGCAAGCATATGACTTCCAGATGCTCTGTGTGTGTATGGGAGGAGGGGGATGTCCGTGGTTTTTGCCTGGGAAAAGTTTTCTAATTAACATGGCTGCTGTAATCTTAGTTGTTACTAATTTTAAATGCAATTAGTTTTGCTGTCTCTAGATTGACTTGTAATATTTTCTACTTTGCAGGTGTAGGAAATCTCTCAAAAGGATCAGAACAATCTAGCAGATTATTTCTAGATAATTTCTCAAAGTTCTCTGTTTGGGTTTCATTTTTTGAGATTTACAATGAATGTTTTTATGATTTACTGGCTCCTATGTCAGATGACAAGAAAAAGAAGACACTTCGCCTTGCTCCAGACATCAAGGGATATTCTTACGTGAAAGGTAACTGGAGTGCTTTGCAAATCACCAAGCTTGTCATGGAAAAGTGTCATTTCTGTAATAAAGTTTCTTCTGAGATAGAAGACTCTTAAATGTGTTCAGTTTAGCTCTGGAAATGTCTGCTTGAATGCAGAGGCATACTGTATCTTGTCCTTTTCCATGGGAGGAAGAATCTTAGTCTTATCTCTCATCAGCTTATCGTGTGTCTGAAGCAGACTTAATACAATATTTTCTTGTGTTGACTAAGTGTATTATTCTTTGTTTGTATACCTCATTTCTTGTTCACTTTTCCTTTTGCTAATGAAGCTCACAAAGTCACTTTTCCTTCTTCTGAAAGGTCTGCAGTGGGTTCAGGTCTCTGATTGTGAAGAAGCTTTTAGACTTTTTAAACTGGGACAGAAACACCGGAGTTTTGCAAGCACAAAGCTGAATGCTTGCTCCAGCCGAAGGTGGGAGACTTTGACTGAGGTTGGGTATAAGATGGTGTGGGGAAGAGGGATAAGTGAAAATACTGCCTGTGGCTTTTGTAGGGCAGAAGGCTTTAGAAAGGCTTGATATCGAGTGTTCCATTAGATATCCTGTAACTGCATGTGATTCTAGTGCTTGAAACAAGATGGATTAGTCCTTCAAGCAGATAAGCGTGTACAAAAGCCAATTGTTTTATCAAAAACTCTCAGCAGAATAACTAAGCCTTCTTCCGTCTAAGCACTGGTGGTTTGGGGGAGGGAAGAAAAGCAAAACAAGCTGAGATAAAAGCATCTAGCAGAATTATGAAGTTAATTGAATCTCAAGTAGATCCAGCAGCATTTTGACTAGATGTTGTAGATTTTATTAAATATATGTATTTCTGACTGTTGATCTTCCTTCATTTCTCCTTACTGGTTTTAAATTTCTCCTTTTAGCCACAGTATATTTACCATCAAGTTACTAAAAATTGAAGACCTTGAAATGCCACGAGTGACACGAGTCAATGAGTAAGTTCAGAGCAAAGTTCCCTTCTTCTATTGGGGTGAAACTGTCAGTTGTTTTCAGTGTTGGTGTATTGATACTAGGCTACGTACTCAGTGTTCCCTGATGGAGCCTCGTGTATGAGTGGTGGTTCCCCATTTCCTATCGTCATACGGTACTAAACCATCCAGTTGCAGTGCTGTTCTGCATCTTGTGCCCTCTGTTCAGCACAGTGTTCCTCTATCCTGCTCCACTCGATTTCTGAACTAACGTTAAGTCCTCAGAAAGAAGCGCATGGCAGAAAAATGAAGCTTTGTTGAAGAAGCGTTTGGCAGGAAGTAGCGTGCAGCTTTGCTAGGAAAGCAACATTAAAAAGCATGGGAGAGTTCAAGAAATTCTTCTGTTGGGAGGAGTGGTTGTGTTAGAAATGAAAATAATCAGGGCACGTTCCGAGGCAAGAAAACTTAATTTTCCTTATCTGCCTTCAGGTTATCCCTGTGTGATCTTGCTGGTTCAGAAAGGTATACCAAGACGCGCAATGAAGGTGATAGGCTGAAAGAGAGTGGAAATATCAATACGTCTCTCCTGACTCTAAGCAAGTGTATTAGTGCACTCAGGATCAGTCAGCAGTCAAAGTAAGTCCTTGTACAAACTGGAAACCAGGTGTGGATTTCAGGTATTGCGTGCAACGTTTAAGATATTGTCTAAAATGCAGAGTACCAAACTAAGGCATGAGTGAAAAGTATACGTAGACTTCTGCAGTTGTGTGAAGCCTTGTTGATCTAACAAAGTGGTGTATAAACTTGCCGGCTTTGTTTATTTTTTACTTTTGAGTTTTTTAAGTAAACCTTTGAGTTCTGAATCTTTGAACTTAAGTTATCGTGGACTTAAGCAACTTAACATTGTTTCTTCTGGCCTTGCCTTCTCAAAGAAATCCTGGGATAAGATAGACAATTTCTCTTCACTATTTTCTCTACAATAATGCAGACAGAAGAGAAGCCTACGTGCTATTTTTGCCTGCGGTTGGGCTCTAAGTGAGTGCAGGCAGAACTTTCTGTATTTTAAAAGGATGTAGTATTTATTTAGAGTCACAGCTGGATGCAACCGCTCAGGAGCAGCTTTCTCTGTAGATTCTCATTTGAAGATGTCTTTCTCCCACACAGATTAAGTGTGCTCTGTGCTTGGGAAATGCCATTGTGTGCTTTAAGAAATTCTCTTATTTGCTAACACTCTGCCTGGTAGCCTACTCAAATTGTGTTGTGCTTTAAAGAAGATGAAAATAGGCCTAGCTAGAGGTTTAGTCTCTCGTCGGTCCTTCCTTTCTAGGTAAGAAGGGTGCCGTTAAAGTTAGCAGCTTCTTGAAGAGCTGTGGTGTGTTCAGAACTGTTTTATGTTCTGGTCCTGATCACTTGACATCTTAACAACTCAGAAGAAATGTACTGAAGCTTAATCACTTATAATATTGATAGATGACTTTGATAGTCATTTTCTTAACACGACTCTTGTTTAGCACTCCTGCAGTAGAGCTGCTTATGGGTCGTGTGTGTGTTGTGACAGCAGTGTAACTATCTGAAGCTGTCTTGCACTATTTGCAGAATTCAGTAGCTGTCAAGAGTGCAGTGGGCAACCTCACCAGGGAGGTGAGGATTTCGTACAAGTAGAAACTGTTTTCTGAGAAGTAGATAGGCCGTTTTTGCAAAGATGGTAAGGGAAAGAGAAAGGCGAGAGAGAATTGAAGGTAATGTGAGGCCGTGTGACCTAACATAGGCTAAATGTTGAACGTACTTTTTGTTTTAAATATTCTCGTGCGTTGTCCAAGAAGATAAAGGCTGCGTAGTAGCTGGAACAACCACACAACCTGTCTGCCGACTAGCAAAAAGCGATAGCATTAAAAACAGCCCACAACCCCAAATGATGTAAGGACTACTGCCGCTATTAATATGCTGTCTTCCACTTGGATAGCTCGTACACTGAACTGAAGTGGTTAACTTGTGGGCTTTGCTGTGGTTTTTGTCTCCAAAGGGTGCAGCAGCACATACCGTTTCGGGAGAGTAAGTTGACGCACTTTCTTCAGGGATTCTTCAGTGGAAAAGGGAAGACACACATGTTAGTAAACATCAGCCAGTGTGCTTCAGCCTATGATGAAACGTTCAATGTGCTGAGGTTCTCAGCTCTTGCACAAAAAGTGAGTGTGCTGTAGTCTCTCCTGGGGTTGTTGTGTTTCTTTGGGGTGTGAGGGCAGAAGCCCTTCTCTTCTGAGAATCTTATTCCTAAAAGGTATTCAGCCTAACAAGAAGCCGCTTGTTATATCGGGAGGAAATTCTCCACTATTTACTTAATTTTTCTCTCTTCCCAAAATATGATCCCACCCAGGAAAGCAAATCCAGCTAGCCCATACGTGTTGTAATTTTGACTCTTGTTCAGGTCAAGCCCTGACAATATAAATGGAGCAGCAAAGAGTTTGAAAGGCTGTGTTATGGCCGTAAGAGGCTTCAGTGGGGAAGCGGAGGTTAGTCAGAATGGGTAGGAATGAGAGTCATGATATAAGGATGAAGAAGTTAAAGTGTCTGATCAGTGCTGCAGGCTTGATGGAAGTGTTTGAAGCATTGGGAGTTTGTTGTCTGAAGCGTGATTGGTGGATGTGTGCCCTCGGATTGTGGCCGTATCTAAGGAGGTTAAGTGGGAAAGTAGAAGGAGCAGCCTATGAGGGTGATGTGGTTGTGCAAGCGAAAGACCTGAAAAGATGATGTCCAGTTGCATTGAGTGCAACTGGAAACTGAAAGCAAAAGCAGAAACCTGTGGCTTCGTGAAGCGGCAGTTCTTGCACGTTGTTTGGCTAGTGATAGTCTTGAGACTCAGGGGAGGATTGGAGCCTGCAGTAACTCCTTTCTACTTTCTTGAAAACTGGTTGAAGTAGTGACCAAACAAAGGCTATAGGCCAGGGGAGTAGTAAGCTCTGGAGAGGAAATGACAGCAGGTCCCTCTTGGAAGTACTAGTCAAGGTTGAAGGAATACTGATGGCTTTGTTCTTTTATTTCCTGGGCAGGTTATAGTAACGGATGCATCTGTTCCTCCTCGTGATGAGTCATTTGGCCAGAACTCAGCCAGTGGGTCATCAATGCCTCGTTGCTCTAAAATGACGGTCCCAAGCAGAAGCGCTGGATTTCTGTGGGACTGGACCCTAGAAGATGTAGTGGAAGATGATGACTATGAGATGGAGCAAGAACATAATAAATCAGGAGAAGAAACAGTGCTGAAATACGAAGAAAATAAAGTCCTGGTAGGGAAAGAAGAATATTCAGTAAGTGCCCAGACTGCTTTAAGAGTTAGTGCATCCCTGAGGCTTGTAACAACATCCTTCTTTTCTTCCATCTCCCTCCTCTTCGTTCTGAGCACCCTTTCTGTCCCCAAATTCAATGTTAAGAACTAAGTGGAATCTCAGAATCACAGAATGGCCAGGGTTGGAAGGGACCTCAAGGATCATGGATCTCCAACCCCCCTGCCGCATGCAGGGACACCAACCTCCCCATTCAATACCAGACTAGGCTGCCCAGGGCCCCGTCTAATCTGGCCTTGAACACCTCTAGGGATGGGGTACCCGTAATCTCTCTGGGCAGCCTGTTCCAGCACCTCACCACTTCCTCTGTAAAGAACTTCCCCCTGACATCCAACTGAAATCTTCCCTCCCTCAACTTAAAACCATTTGCCCTTGTCCTGCTGTTATCTGTCCTTTCAATGAGTTAATTCCCCTCCTGTCTATGTATGAATTTGGAATGACTCTGACTTAGTGTCTTGTGTGGGGAAGCTGTGTGAAATGTGTCCAAATTGAAATAGAGCAATGAGGCATGCAGATGTGTTATTATTTTCTTGTGGTCAGTACATAGCAAGAATACAGGTATTTTATTCTCTTTTAGGACCTTGCTTTGCTTCTTTTAAAAGTAACTTCTAGAGAGGGCAAAGAGGCAGGAACAGAAGGCTTGAGAACATTTTGGTAGCATTTAATTAGTATTATCTCTCCCACCACCCCGTTCCCCCTCCCTCCCCCCAACCCCCCCAAAAAAAAAGGGCATCTGCAAAGTAGCAGCTGAATTCTCTATGAATTATCTGCTTTATATTTCTTGGGAAATGACTTATCTGAGCAAGCCTGTAAGTTATTGAGCTAGGACCAAATGTGAAGGCTTCTGTTTATGAATAAGTTAATAAAAGAAGTGGGAGGTCATTTTCAACTAGAGTGAAGGGAGAAAACTCAGTTCTAGGGAAACCACTGAAAAACTTAATACCAAACCAAACATGGGAAACCTTGAAAAACTTAGTAGTGCTGTTATCCTAGGCACTGCTGAATCTTGTGGAAGACTTGAAGAACAAACTTATTGCTGAGAAGAAGGACAAGCTACTGCTGGAACTGAAAATTCGTGATGAAGTGGCCCAAGAATTTACCCGATATTTTGCTCAGCAGGAAACAGAGTTCAAGTAAGTTAGCTTTAAACGCTCTTAAAGTTATTGGTTGAAAAGGAAAGGTGAGGGTGTCTTCCCGTGTTGCTGAGAGTTGGATTGGATGAAAGAATAGTCTACTATTCTGCTGGACTTGCTCTTTTACTCTTACTTGGTCTCAGGTAAGAAATCAATGTCTACCTGGACGGTGGATTTTAGGAGAAATACAGCGTAGGAAAGGCTTTGATTTGGAGGCTGAGGAGAGGAGGGTATCTTTACTGACTGCTCTCTTAGTGGCAAACAGAATTTTTCTGGCTCGAGGAGCTCAGGAAGAAGTCTTCTAGTAAACATTTGCACCTGTTGTCACCTGCTGCTGCTCTCCCTCACCTCCATCAGATCTTGGGGAGTGGGGAAATACATTTCTATGTCAGTGTAGCAGTAATATTCTGTGTATTATTCTGTGGTGCCAAAACAGAGAAACATCTTTGTTTTCAAGAAACTGCGCTAATAACGTAGCGGTTGAGATGGGTTGGCTTTTAGCTGACGTATGTTCTGTCTTTTGTTCTGCAGAGAATGCCTTTCCCAGGAACGAGAACGGCTTGAAGAAAATTCTGAAAAGCGCCTTGAAATTTTCAAGGAACTTGTAAGTGGTTGTGCTGACAACCCAGGCGAAGAGAAACTAAAGAATCTGCCTCGCAGCGAACAAGCTGAACCCCTGGTATTTTTTCGTTCTTGCTTTTTCTTAAATATTTTCCTTTTTACTAGTTAAGTGGTATGGGCACGTCTTAGGGAGCTGAAAGGCTGGTCACAAGGAAGCGCAGGCTGTGTTGCTGTATGATGAGCAAGATGCATCTATTCTTCATCTAGTACGAATGGTTGCTGAGCCTTTCAGAAAGCTTTGGGAATTTGACGGCTTTTCTTTCTGTTTCTGCAACAGAGAATGAAAAATTACCCTGTGTTCAAGGAAAAAAGGAATCCTAGCTTATAGGTTAAATTTGCAGGAGTTGTATCTGTGGTAATATAAAAAAGTCGGGTCGTCAAATACTATAAAATATAATAGCTGTTGCTAGATTGCCAATTCATACCTCCCACTCCCCGCGCCCCCCGATACAACTCTCTGTTAAGTTGCATGTGAACTTGCAAGGTGGGCTTTGAAGGTGGAATTGAAAACTGTTTAGGTGATTGACTTCACAGTGGCTATCCAAACTATCTGTAGAAGTAACAGCTATTGCGTAGGTAGCTTTCCACCAACTGTAACTGACAAGAAATTGTGTTCCAGGGTGGAGAGCATAGCGCAGTGCGTGACACCTGTGCTGATCTTGAGGGCATTCTTGATTCTCTGCAGCGTGATGTTATGGATATTAAAAAGCAAGCTGTGGCAGCACATAGTTACATTGCAACCCTGGAGGATCCACAGGAAGCTATTGGTCGGCTTGAGGAGCAGCTGGAAAAAACTGGCTTTGAACTCATGAAGACCAAGGAAGAGCTGACAGAGAAAAACACCAAACTACTTAAAACTGAGGAAGAGCTGAGACAGAAGAACAAAGGTGAGTTGTGTGATGCCATGGGTAGAAGAAAGAAATAGTTCACTAATCCGAAGTAGAAATAACCAATTTGAGCTGGAAGTAGAGGAGATGTTCTACGTTTGGAACCATCGCCTGTACATAATACAAAGCCTGTGTGCAATATGAAGTGATTGTTTGTTCTGTGCATGTGTTCAGGTTGAACAATTGCACGATTCTTGGTTATTTCATGTTTTTTCCACTTAAGCTGCAGCTAGCAGGCTGAAGCTTTCAGAAGTATGGGGTTAAATGTCTCTGTGTAGATTTTGCTGTTTTATTGTAATCCCTGCTCTTCTTTACATCTTGCTGATGCAACCTTTTCATTCCAACAAATACAACTTTTGAAACACTCCTATAAGTGCAGGCCACGTGCAAATGAATTAATTTCTTCACATCTACTCCAACATCAGAATGTCTGGGAACATCTGGGATTACTGAATAAACTACCTATTGGCTACTTATTAATGCCAGTTTTTCTGTGTGTTACAGACTTTGAAATGCAGGTGATTCAATTGGATGAGTCTGTTGAGCAACTGAAAGAAGCAACCGAGGTAACTTTATCAAGAAAATCCTGTGTAGGATTATTTGATTAAAACCAAGTTGTGGTAGCTTAAAATGTTGTTCCAGTAGGCTCCAGGAGTAGCTTTCTCACCAAGTTTAGCAAAACTGAACTTGCGTTTAAAATGCATTGTGCAATTCGGCTACTTAACACTGCATTGGAAGCTGATGACTGAACTATTTTTTTTTTTTATTATTTCCAAGAGAATGAATGTGCAAAACGAAAGGATTCAAGTGCTAACAGACATCGTGGTGCAGAAAGATGCCATTATTACAAAGCTACAAGACTTGAGATCTCATTTAGAAGAAAAAGTGAAGGACTATGTGAGTTTTGCCCATCTCACTATCTTTACACCGAAACAACCCATCCCGAACCCTATGCTTGTAATGCATTCACTTCTGTAAAAGTGATTTTCTGTATGAAGCTGGTACTGTTTGACATTGTAAACAATTCAGGTTAATCTGAAGATAGTTGTTGTTAACACAAGCAACAAAAATATCAGTGTGTTCCACCAACTGCTACCTCACGCTCCTACATCAAAGGAAGAGCAGGAGTAGGAGTATATTGAGCGGAGTTAGAAGTATGAGTGGATGGCCAGGATACCTCTACATTCTCTGCAGTTAATAGAAGTCTCCTGACTAATGTACTGCAAGCTACTGAGTATGCGAAGAGCAGCTTGGCTAGAAGTGTGTGTGCATACCACTTCTGGTGGCTTTTCTTCATTTTCTACCTTGATGTGTGGTAGCCTGAAGTAGCTCTGAAAGCATTTATAGTTAATTCTGTCACTCTGGTAAACTCCTCTTGATTGTGTGCAAGTCTTTTGCTTTGTAACCTGCTAGGCTCTTGCTCTCCCTTGCATACTGCACCGAGTACTGTGCTCGTCCTTATCTGAAGGTGTACCTGTTCTTGCTGTTGCTGGGATTTGTAACTGACATCTTTAGGGTCACTGGATAAACGTTGCAGCTGTGTAGTTTTGTGAAAATGTTTGCCTACAGAAGATTACTGTGCATTAAGTGGTCCTTTTGTTCAGCTTCAATGTAACTGGTCTTATGTCAATACAGGAAAAGACTATAACTACTTTTAAAACAAAGCTGGCAAATGAGAACTCTAATAAAGCTAGTGAAAGCAGCCGATTCAAGGGACGTGAGGAAAGTGAGTTGGAAGTGGGCAGAAAGCGCTGTTTTGAAGATAAGCCTCCTGTGGAAGAGCCACCTCCAAAGAAAGGTACAGTTTCTTCCATCGCTGAACCAGGGGTCTTCCAAAAAACCAAACTGATTCCTATTCTGGAATGGAAGCAAAAGGTTGTGAAGCGCAACCTTATGGTATGAGGAGAAAATCCCGTGTTATTCTGTAAATAGAAGTAACTGTAATGTAAATATCCCTTTTGCAGAAGGTCCTATGCTGTTCATTTTTGAATGCTTAAAATAAAGGCTTTTTGCACTATTTATTTCCTTTTTGCTGCTTTTTCCTCATCCACAGCTTAGCTGTAGTCCCTTCCTTTCTTGCCTTTCTCTTGCGAAATATGTGCAAGAGAGGAAAGCAATGCCTTGTTTGTACGAGAATGCTTGTCTTGGATGATCTCCCTCTGCCATCTTTAGGATCCAGTATTTATGCCAAATAATGTGACCACTGAATGGTATACGCATATTTGTATTACCAGAGACAGAGGAAGGGAAATACAGCTGATGTGGACTTTGTCGTACTTCAAATTGTAGTAGGCTTGTTATAATCATATGACTGAAGCTCTCATTTAAAAAGTTAATGCTAGTACTCTTGCAGCTAGGAATTAAAATGGATAACTGATACTCACAAGGTCAGCCTTGAGTTTTCTGTGAAGAAATACTGACTATTCAATCATGTTGAATGTTGTTTTTTTAATTTGTATTATAAGTGTCCAATTACTGTTTAATATATTTTCTTCAACTGTATTAAATATACACAATGTAACAATGAGCACAGGTGTGTTGTGCCGATTCTCTTATAGAATTTAGTTATCCTAGTAGCGTGAGCAAAATTTCATTAGAGACGATAGGTTATCTTGGTTTGAAGTTCAGGGTATTTACACCATTCACTGAGCTTTACGTCTCGTTTCCCACGTTTTGGGATCATGCTTTTTCCTTACGTGGTGCATAAGGAGCTTCTAGACTAAACATCACATACCTTCTTCCAGTCTTACTTCTCTTGCTTTAGTGTTTGCTTGTACATTTCAGCACAAAGCATTTAGATTACTTCTAAGTCTTCCAATGGAGGATTTTACTCTCCTTTGCTAGAGGTGCTGGGAGCAATTAAAACCCAAAACCTGGTTTGGGATTGAAGATGCCACTGCTGTTGCTTCAGAACGACTTCTAAATCACTTGGGGGCCATCTATGGAACTTGTTGGATGGGTTAAGAGGCCGTTTCCATGCAATCCACGTGTATCTGTGTGTAACGCTGGCTGTGTGTGGATGCTACAAAGTTCTGCTTTTCTGTGGTTGTAGCAGTAACAGGACTCTACAAAATTTCTGTGGAATATATTGTGCTGTCACAATCCCTAGTCATTTAAGTCTTGACTTATTTTTTAAATGCTGAAGCAAAGTATGCATGTTACTTAATGGACGTAGCTGGATTCTAAAGCAAGGAAGAAGTACAGCAGGAGTCACTTCTGATAGGAAGAAAATGCATGTAATTTTAGTTACTGCTCACTAGTTAAGGAAAAACCAGCCCCAAGCTAATGCAATGCTTATGGAAACTTGAGTCTGCAAATGTGTACCTTTTTCTGAGCAAGCTTTCTATGCAAAATAGTAGGTGTGGACAGAAGTAGGAATCCTCATAAGTTGTTTAGAGACCAACTGAAAAAAAGGAGACAGCAGATACCCACGCTGAAGTGATCAACTTTTCCCGGATTTTATCTTTTTAAAGTAAGAGCACCGTGAGTTTAAATGAAACTTCTCAGAGAACTGTCTAATACCTCTTAGATATATCTGTGTTATAGGGATTGCTGAAGCAGGGAAGGTGGAAGCAATATAGTTGAATTATCTATTTCATTCCCATGTTTCTTAAAACTAACCACATGTTCTACTAGTGTGCAGTGGAAGGTTGGAGTAGTGCCACGGTAAAAGCGTTCTTGCGGACTGAAAGCTCATTGCTGCAAACTATGTCTAGAAGTCTGAGGCACGTGATTACGAGTTCAGAGGGCTTTAACTCCATTTGTACTTTCAAATACCACGAGATGTGAGGGTATGGCTTTCATGTTAAGACAGTTTTTCATTTAGCAGTTGATACTTGGTATTGTGAACTATCTGATATTGTTTTTACTCATTGTGAGCTGCATTCCTTTTCTTGGTTTTTTTTTGCAGTTGTTGTGAAGGAGAGAAAGAAAAAGAGCACTCTAGAGCAAAAGAGAATTGAACACGTGACGCAGAAGTGCTCTGCGTACCATATGGAAGTACTAGCACTGAGGGAAAGAACTGAAACCTTGGAACGTCACTTAGCTGTGCTTGAAGAGCATTGCAGGAGAGAAGAAAATAAAAAAGAAGGTCTCAGTAAGCAGGTCACAAGCCTGCGTACTAAGCTCTCTTTTTCTGAAGAAACAGCTGCTGACCTCTGTGAACAACTTCGGCAGTGTCAAGCTGAGTATCGGGAAGTTGCTTCTGAGCTGGATGAACAGAGATCTGTAAATATGGGGCTAGAAGAAAAAAATGTTCAACTAAATAACATCATAGAAGTTGCCAAACAAAACATAATTGATAAAGTGTCACAAGTAAAAGCAGTGCAGACCAAATTAGGTGACTTATACAAACGTCACTTAGAGTCCTACGCTATCGATACTGACTTAGTCAATGTAGAGGATTCCTCAGGCTCTGAGGAAGATGAACCAGAGAGATCTCAAATTAGTTCTGCATGCCTTCAGTCACAGGCTTCTTCTATGTCAGATCTTGCACAGGACCGCTCCTTTTACCACGGTCTTGAAAGGATTTGGGAAGCATGCAAAAGTATAATTGATGTTTCCTCACAAAAAAGTCAGCGGATCGAAGCACTGCTTCAAGATGTTGAAAGCCTAAGGAAGGGACTGAAAGATGCTGAGAATTGTAATAATCAACTTGAAATGAAGCTAAGCGAGGTTACAAATCTAGATAGTCAGAAAGAAGATCTTATGCATCAGTTACAAGAGCAAATAGAAAAGAAAACCAGGGACTTTGAAAAAAAGGCTGCGGAAGATCACAGAGTAATTGCACAATTTGAGGAGGAAGTTGCCAACTGTGAGGTAAAAATAAGAGAGCTTGAATGTCTCCTGGAAGCTTTCAGAGCAAAGGAAGGCAGCGTGACAAAACTCGAAGAGTTACTTAAGGAAAAGGAATCCATTATTGTAAATCTAGAAACAGTTATGGCAGCTCTGCAGGAGAAGTCTGCTAATGAAGACACAAAGGTTGAAGAGCTAAATAATGAAAAAGCAAATCTGATGGAAGAAGTTGTGCAGCTGAAAAACAGCTTGGAGCAGATGAAACACTCTCTTTGGGAAAAGGAAAAGAGTGAAAAGGAGAAAATGCAAACTATAGAATCGTAAGTAACTCCTGAGATAACTTACAGCCCTTTGAGAACGAGCTAGAGTTAAAACTCGTTCTTGTGAACATCCCTTTGACTTAATGCTTTTGCATGTTTATCAGTAGCCAAGCTACTACTTTAGGATGCTTTGGTTTGCTACTTGAGTTCAAAGGGAAAACAGGAGCGTGCAAGGAAGCAAAGAGTAACTTGGGGATTTCTGGTGGTTTTGTTGTACATCCCTCAGAACAGAATCTGAAGTATTTGTAGCTTCAGAATCTGATTATGAGAGGCAAGCTGAAATTTGAAAGTAATTGTTTAAATCTTGTCACTGATCTAGATAGATCTAAGATTCTATTTTCAAGTAGAAACCAGCAGGCAGGGCCTGGATTAAGGCACAAATGCTGTTTCCATGAGATGCGTACAGTAATGTTCTTTGTCTCTTTATTTTTAACATAAGGCTTAAAAAGGCTGTTGCTGAGAGCTCTGTCCTTGTGCGGAGTTTGAAAAAAGATTTGCAGAGGAAAGAAGAAGAGTATGCAGACTTAAAAGACAAACTTCCTGATGCCAAGAAACAAATTCTGCAAGTACAAAGCGAGGTTTGTAGTCAAGTTTCTTCTGGAAGATTGTGCTTGGCATTCTGTTGTTAGAACTTGTTTGCTCAAACCTTACCTACGAAGCTTAAAAATGTGTCACGCTGGTGGGGCAAGCAGCAACGCTTAGTGAATGTTGCCGTTGAAGCTGTAGAGGAGACCAGAAGTCAAGACATGGTTTCATAAAGATAACAAACAGAGGAAAGTAAACTTTGTTTGTAGTCTTGAATAATGTTTGTGAAAAGAAAGGCTAATGGGCTTCTGGAGGGGGACTTGTGGTGATCTCTGTAGTAACTGTAGCCTTGCCTCTGCTATTTGTGGCAACTCCAAAACCTCAAACCTGACCCTTGTGAAAAGTGCTGATAACTGGGAAGAAAAATAGTGTTTACCTGACGAGAAATAGACTGATTTCCAGAGGCTCTTTAATATTAGGTTTGGGTTTTTTTCTTTATATTCATCTTTATGATATTAATGATTATAATTTAGTCATTAAGCGGGAAGGTATTTTACAACCGATTTTACTGGAACTTAGTTGGAAATATTATGGGAAGTGTTTAGGGTGGAAAATTGAGGCATAAAAATGGTTTTTGGTAACTTGGTTTACAGAAGTCTTAAAATAACTGTGTGCTTTACTTATGTTACAGGTGTCATCATTGCGTTCTTCGGAGAAATCTCTGAGGAACAGAATTGATGAACTTGAAAAGATTAAAAAACAGTTCAGTGAAGAGCTGGATGTCAAAAGGCTTGCTATCCAGCAACTTAGACAGGTACATGACTTTCATTAAGATTTCCTTGCTCATAATTTTTTTAAACCAATGATGCATGTTTTCCAAGCAGCAGGAACAAGTTTGCAGAAATTGGGGTAAAATAAAAGTAGCCAACTGAAATTAGTGATAGACCATGAAAGGTGTTCAAATAATTTCTCATCGCAGAGTGCTGGCAGATTGCTTTAAATACAATAAGCTGCATAGTAAATACATGGTTAATAGCTGCATATAACCTGATTCTGATGAGTGACAACTGTGTACGTTAATTGAAATGTCTCATCTCAAACCCTTCTTATCAGTTTGAATGCTTATTTGTACTTTATGAAAAACTGACTAATTCTAGACTGTCTTAAAAATTTGCTTGTTTCTACTGTGTATGCTTTTCTCTCAATGTGAAATATAGGAGCTGTTGAATAACAAGAAGTTGGAAGAAGTCACCAGACAATATGAGAAAATACGTGAAGGTCAGCCATTATTTTTCCTCTCTCTCTCTCTCTCTCCCTCTCTTTCTCTCCCTCTCTCTCTCTATCTCCGTGTAGTATCCATGTCAATGTTGTCACATCACTAATGACTCTGGCCAATCTTACACTTTTATATTTTAAAACGTGATTTGAAAACTCCAAACTAGATGTTTAGTAGTTAAGCACTGCTTTAAATGTTATTGTATGACTATTATCAAGTGAACTTGAAAGTAAAGCAGCAGATTTGGGAGAAGTCTCCGAGAAAGTGCAGATTTGCAGTGCTTTTTAAAAAGTCTGCTGCTCATGTGCTGTTTTAGTTGACCTTCTGAAGTAAACTCAACCTCTGAAATGTCAAGTTCTGCAATAACAGATTCTGTAGGCTGTAGGATGAACTTAGAGCAGTTGAACTACAGTCATTTTCTCATGTAATAAACTCCATATTCTGATTGTCCCTAGCACTGGAATTCTCACCTAAAACAAGTTGGTAAGACTCACTTAAGAACTCTGTATGTATCTGTATGTGAATATTTCAATAGAGATGCTCTATTTCTTTCAAGAGAGCTTTTGGTCATGGGGGAACCTCGACTTGAAAACTCCTCGGGAGAGGATAACGGGAACTAATAGGGAGTTCATCTGTAAATTTTCAAACCTCCAGATCTGTGTGCAAAAGAAAAAACAATTGAAGTTATGAAGATGACATTAGAAGAACAAGAAGAGACTCAGCTTGAACAAGATCAAGCGCTTGAAGCTCAATTAGAAGAGAATGAAAGATTAGCTTCAGGTAATCTTTCAGTGGAAAGGGAGCAGTGATGCATAAGTGCTTTAGATGTATTGTGATAGCCACTTCCATTTTCATTTGGCTTGGGCATTAATGTTCCATAGTAAACAACAAATTTGTACTTGTTAAAAGCTTCTGTTATTTCTTTGTTCTACAGCAGGCAAAACCTAAGTGGCTTTAGTAAAAAGTCATTAATGTGGTGTTTCAAATACACATTTGAAACGATAAGGTGTCTAACCTCTTTTTGTGTATTGAGTAGAACTGGAGACGTGGAAACATAGATGCAGAGAACTGCAGAACCAGAGCAATATTGACCGGCAGCAAAAGGACAGGGAAAGGGAAGAGGCAAATGTGAATGAAATCCATACAGAATTAATAAAGCTGCAAAAAGAGCTGAAGGTAACTTCACTTTAAAGTTGTAACTTCAACTTAGGAGACTACTTATAACATGATAAAGTAAACTGTTACACTGATGAAAAAATCTTCCTTTACAACCTGCAGTGCAGTGTGCAATAAGGACGAGGTACAGCTAGAAATATTAACTCAAAGCAAATTATAACTTAACATACATTTGTCCAAGCTTTTTTCTATTAGTTGCTTGGGCTATTTGTATAAGCTATCCAAATCAGCACCTAACTTTATCGCCGGGAAGCCTTTTTTTGTTGTGCTGAGGGTCTAATTTTAATTGGCCTTGGTTAAAAGAATTTTTTTTTTTCAAGTAGTTTCTCAGATGCTCTATGCTATATGTGAGTGTGTCTGACAGTAAGGTTGATTGTGATAGAAAAGGAGATAAAGTTGTTGTGGATTGGAGTAACGTTCTTGAGTACACATGGACTATTCCTACAGCATAAATTGTGTTACGTTTCTTTCTTTCAGCCCCAAAGGAGGTGCAAGTTTTCTACATCTCCTGCAAGGCAGCATAAAATATTAGACACTTTTAAGTTAAAATAGTTTTTCATGCAGTGACTTTTGTTGTAAGTTCTATAATGCTTGTGAGAACATTTATAAAGAGAAAAAGTTGTCCTGTGGAGTCCCTCCAGTCTGAATAAGAAATACTGAAAATTATTATTATTAAATGGAAAAGAACTGATGAGTATACAATACATGCACTGGGAACATTCTGTAGTAAAAACTGCTCATGTTTCTGTGATTTTGTAGAAACAAGTCTATTTAATGACGTCCTGGCTTTTAAGACTTTTATTCCTTAACCACTTAGTTTTTCATTTCTGATTCCTTTGAAATAGGCAAATGAGGCCAAGTATCAAACTGATAGAAAGAAGTGGCTGGAGGAAAAAGAAGGACTCCTGAAGCAGGTAAAAGAAGCTGAGAATCTTCGCAACAGAGAAATGAAGAAGTTTGCTGAGGACCGACAACGGCACGGAAAGCAACAAGCAGAAACTGTAAGTGACGAGGTCTTGGCAGAGTCATCCAGAGTCTGTAGTTTGGAGACAACTTCACGCCAAGTACTAACAGTATGGGAACGTAAGAGTAGCTTGTCCAAGTCCCCTTGCTTTCTTATGAAGCCTGTATGAGAATTGCTTGATTTGGAAAAGGGAGGAAAAGGAGGGTCACAAAAAGACAAAGCTTTCCTAACTACGTAATGAAATGTAACGTACGTGGGACTTAAATAAGAAAATTACAGTTGAAAAATAAATTACTGCTTGATGAGTCTAAGAAAACATTTTGAACAATAGGATTTGTTTGTTTTCTTTTCTGGAACACAGAAGGCCTCTAAGCCTTTATAAGGAAGAAAAAGGCAATGGAGTTTCCAAAGGAACCCCACAAACTTCTCTCCAGATACTGAATAAAACTGCTGGGTCAATCTGCTTCCTTTTTTTTGCTCCCTTATCACTTTCCAAGAAGTGACTGATAACAAAGTGGTTGCTTGAGCTGTTCACTGAGCTGTTGTCATGTAACTTTTCAAACATGTGAATCTGTATGGTGCACAAAACCTTTTTTTGCATCCGGAAGTAGTTAGTCCTGACTTTCTGGACCTGCAAGCAGCACAGAGGATGTGAGGAGACTGGTACTGTTAGTAATCACTAAATGAGCAAACCGAAGTGGAGGTTCTTAAATAATACCAATGATAATTTTTCACAAGGAGAGTTACAGAGATTGTCTAATAGAAGCATGGTTTTGCTTCTGTAGTTTGTAGTGCAATAGTTCTAGAGCTCCCGTGGATCTTGAAGAGATCATGCATTTACTAAGACTGTAAAACAGTGCTACCTACCAAACTGTAAGAACCCTTCAGTGTGTGCTAGTGCTGTTCATCGTTAATCTTTTCTTTGTTTAGGCAATACTTGTTGCCCAGCTGGAGGAAAAGGACAGCAATCTTCAAAAGTGGCGTGAAGAGAGAGATCAGTTAGTAGAAGCTTTGGAAGTGCAGCTCAAAACGTTGGCTGCTAATGCCGTGCAAAGAGAGAGAGAAATAGCAGAACTGAAACGATCGGCCTTAAAGGATTCAAGCAAGGTCAGCTCTTTTTTCTTCCTGCCTGATTGGCTACCCATAAATTCTGCAAAACGCTATGCCTGCTCTCTGTATTTTGGGTGTAGTTCTGTTCTTAAACACTGTCGTATTGACATCGCGTGCAGTGCAGCTGACCAAAAAAGCACCAGATTTTACTTCCGTTCTTCAGAAACAGGATTTCTGTTAGTGCTAGAGTTTCAAAATTTTTAGTAGTTCAAATGAACGGACGTCAGTTTGATGCTTTTGATCCCAAGGTTAGTCTGGACGTCTGTAACTTTTTCCCATAATTCCCAGCGTTTCTTGGTCCCAAGCTAGGCTCAATACTTGGTCAGATAGTAGTTCTGTCTCAGGTTTCTTACTTTCTTTGTTTTCTCTGAGCTAGTATCTACAATGGCATGAAAAGACGGAAGGAGATGTGAAGAGAGATGCAGGGAAGCATCAAAGGCAGAGGGGGAATGATCTCTGGAAGTTGCCTTTTTTATTTCACTGTCCAGCTTTAAATCAGGACAGCCAATCTAAGCAGTAGCTTAGATGGAACTTCAGAAGCTAAACAGAAGACTCTATGAGTTGTGATTTTTGAGAATGTTTGGATATCTCCTTCTGTGGGATGAGAGCCGTGCTCATAGCAAAACTTCCCCTACAACTGCTGACAATTCTCACAGTACAGAGGTCTTTGTGAACAAATAAAAACTCTTTTTATTCTTGTATCTTAAGAGAAAGGCTGAAGCACAAGAGTAGAAGAAAAGAAAAGAATTCAATACATATTGTAATACATCTTCCCAGGCAATAAGGTGACTACTGCACTTGTAGCAGTGACCATACAAAACCATGAAATGTTATTGCTCTTGATTAGCTTACTGTCTTAGCCTGCAATTCTGAAACGGTTGCTACTAAGTAACTGCAGTGCTGCTTGTGTGTGTTAGCTCCTTTTGCCAATCCTGCAACTCAACAATTTGTACGGTGTTTATTAGGATAATGAAACTGTGATAGAAGAGTTAAGAAAAGAACTGGCTGACAAAGATGACTTTATAAAGGAATTAAAACAACGCATCAGCCACAATAGCCCCCAGGCTTTGTCAGAAGTACCTTTACTTGAAGAAAGACAAGGTAGAATGGATCGTCCTGTAAATGAAAAGGTATGATTATATTTATAGAAAATATGTACTCAAAGTCTTGTTCACCCCTTTTTGTTCTGCTGCTTTCCTAGAGATACTGGAAATCTCCCAAGAGTTAGAATCACTTTTCTTAACATAGAGTCCTTTAACTACATATTCAGTGATGAGTGTTGGTTCTTTCTGTCTTTCACTCAGGCATGTGCTCTCATCCTCTCAGAAGCATTTTATTTACTGGAACTAAACCTCTGTATATATGCAATGGAACTTTTCCATGTGTTCATGTGTGGACACTAAAGATTAGGCAGAGGTTTAGTCTCTGGCATTCTAACATAGCAGCTGTGAGCGTGCGGAGAGTATGGGCTGAATGGATGACAAGATGACCAGCATTACAGATTTTGTCCCTAAGTAACATCTGACTTGGTCTCTTTTGGAGGTAGAGTACTGAATGAAGCTGTTGGAGAGACCCAGTAGGGTGAATCTGAAGATTACACGATGAATGGATGTTACTACCTTCACAGATTTGTGCTGTGTTTCAACTTACTTGTTCATGTGGTGTCTGGGCTTGAGATTCTACACTGGAACTTTAGAAAGCTCAAAGTATTTTGGAGGTGTGCTGCACAGCCTGATCTTCACTGATTTTAAATGTTCACAGGCTATGAAAAAAGAAAGCAAAACTAAAATCGGAGATGAAGAAAGTATTCCAGGAAGACGTGAAGCTAAAGGGAATTATTCATCAACTCGACGTCCTAGCAGTGTCCCTTCATTAAATGAATCTGAGGTTAGTATGCAACTTCAAATCTGAAAATGTGGTAGTTGTACTGATCTTGATAAAGAATGAGTAGGAAAAGGTCTCGAGTTCTCTACACAATTCTCAAGCTTTGTTTATCCCTTTCAAGGTGATCAGATCATCTGTTTTCATAGCCTTTGGTAGGAATAAAAGCTGTTGAAAGCATTGTGTGATGAATTCCTCTTATTTGCTGTTGAAAACTTTCCTCTCGTTGATGCTTATGACGTGGCTCATGATTAAATGAGTCACCTGGAAAGCAATTTACAGAGCCACTGAAATGGGCACAGCAAATTGAACTTGTTTTCTTCCCCTGCAGGATTTCTAACTTTGCTAGCTTTCGCAAAGTAGCAGTTCTATGTATTTACGGCAGTAGTAGCAGCCATCTGCCATTTCCTGATGTCCCCAGCAGCCCGCCTTCCATGTTCTGTTCAACATCTGAACTTGCTTTTGATGTGCTAGCTACTAGCTGAATTCCTGCCATAGAGAAGGAGGAGTCCAGGTGATCACAGCTCTGACTCTGTTGTTCCTGCCGAGAAAAGCAGGGTTGGGTGGATCTCTGCAACTCTAGTGTAGAAGAGGAAGGGCAAACTGCCTAAAACTAAGCTGCACGATAATAAGGCACTTGAGTCAAAAGCTTCTGTTCCTGCCCAGTTCTGCAGCAGCAGAGTTGAGATGAAGAAAATCCTGTCAGTTAATTGTGGAAAGAGAATGGTTGTCTGTGCCCTTGAGAAAAATGACCTGTAAAGCATCAGGCTCAATGCAACATGGAAAACTTTTTCTGTTACCTTAGATTGGAAACAATAATTTTAATTGTAACAGGTTCTGGGAAAGAAGGGCTAAACTCTGCTGTAACTGAAAGAGACTTCTTCTTCTGTTAGAAGGGTTCTGTAAGCTAACAGCTGGGATACTGCGTGTTTGCATATCCTTTTCCAGATGCATGATTGTTTTTTAATCTCATGGCTTCCCTAACACTTGCACTTCAAATTTCTCTGTGCTATCAGGAGCATTTGGAAACTGACCTCAACTCTTCTGAAGCATCCACAGAAAATGGAAAAACTAGTCGGTTCCCAAAACCAGAGGTGGAAATCCAACTGTCACCTCTGCAACCTGATAAGATGGAGATAAAGCAGCGCGACAGCATGTTACCTGCAAGGGTGAAAATGCCTAGGACAAGAAAGAAGAGAAAAAGTGATGACATGGATGAGGTATGACCTACACCAAACAGAAAACGAAATATCTGATGCCTTTCTACCATTCCTCATTTAAGCTTTAAAAAACGCTACTTCTATCTCAGGAATGTGGTTGAAGCATTTAATTGATGAACCTTGGCGTGGAGAGTCGAAACTTTAATGAAACTAAACTAATAGCCAAACTGGGTGATAATGATTTAAGAGAAGGGAAAGAATTTATCTCAACTCCATTGTGAATTTTCTTTGAAAATCCGTAGACATCAGTCAGCTTTTTAGACTTCTTATACGTTTGCTTTCTATTTTGTCTGAAATATCTGAGTGTCTCCTCTGACTTGTCGACATGCAGTTTTGCTTCTTATGAGTCTTGGGGAGAAAAAAGTGCACTCTGTATGGGGATGGCATCGCATCACAGGATGTCTAATACTGATATCTTAATAAGGCTACCAACCCGTTTGTGCACTTGAAAGTTTGTTTAGTATTTGATTCGCATTGGAATTGTTACTACTTGCAAATACCTCCCTACTACTGAATGCAATAGCGTTGAAAGTGTTTGCTTTTGTGATACACCTAATGAAAAGTGAATCTTTCTAAAAGACTTGTGGCTAAAACTTGTCTTATTTTCCCAGGATTTTGTGATAAGAGAGAACTCGAAAAACACAAAGTCTGCCATGGCTTGTAATTCATCCTCTACAAGTGACGAGAAAATGGTTGGTTTTTGTTCTAGTTTGGAAGCTAGTTTGGGACTTTCTGTCATAGTGTGGCCATTTGAAGGGAGTAAACATTCTTATGCAGCAGCGTCTTATCCTTATTTGTGTAGCTGAATGGGAATCTTTAACTCTTATGACCTCCTCCTATTAAATCCCATGAGCTTATCATAGAGCAAGTCGGTCTGTCCCAAGAGTGTATAATGGCTGGGCTGTAGTGTGGAATGATTTGGTGGAAAGCATATCGCAGACTGAGTAGTTGGGAGGAGAAGTCTGAGCGTATTATCATGCGCTTTTGTAAGTGAAGCCCTTGTATTAAGCTGAGATTCGTGTGATTTATATGCATGGGAATTACTAAAAAGAGATGTTTTAATGTCTTAGCAGTATCCTTGGCATTGTCAGAGTGTGAAGAGTAGGTTTTTCCCAATCTGTTTTCTACCGTTTTGTATTTTTGTTTATTTTTTTATAGTTAGAACAGCTTATGTAAGAAACATCTCCACAGCTTGGGATTAACTTTTAAAGAAACTACTGCTTCTTCAACAAATGTTAAGAAACTTATGCCTTGGAATTGCTGAGGCTTTGACAACTCCCTAAAGGGTATAAAATTGTCTACGTTACTTACAGTTGTAATATCATTAGCATAATAAACAGAGGTGTCAGTAGCAAAGCTCAAAATGTCGGCTTAAGATAACACGGACCTAAAATAAAGCTTAAACAATGCTCTTATTTCTTGTTCACGTGTCTGTTAAACAGAAATCCAGAAAAGAGTACTTCCTAAGAAAGCGAGTGTGTACTTACAGTAGAAGATTGACTAGCAGGAGTGATGGAACTCTACAAAAAGTTGGAGATTTTCTTCAAAGTACTCCTTCTTTTATTCACTCTAAAGGTTGGTGTAGAACAAGTAAGATTTATTCCACCTTCTGTAGGCACTGCAGAATGGCTTGTTTCTGCTGTAGGCTATGAATGTATATATTCTTAGAGAACTTGTCTGCCATGTTACGTTGCTCTTCAACTTATGAAATAAATGCATTTATTCATCTCTTCTGAGATTCATTACTACTTGAATGAAAATCTGCAAGTATGCAGAGGAAGTTGACTCCACCTTGTGCTTCTGTCAGCACAAAAGTTAGGCCTGTTGTTTAGCTCCTGCCAAAGTTCCTCACTTCCAGCAACTTCTGAGTCATGTTTGTTTTTCACACCCTTGATGGACCATTGCAATTTCTGAATATTTTAATTTAAACTTGATGTATCACTTATAAACCAAGTTTATAATGAAGCTTTTGGCATTTGTTGATATAAAGACTCACAAAATCTGTAAGTTGGTTAGTTTATGAATCAAAACAAATTTCTTCTAGCCAAGAAGCTGATGGCAGCCGTAAGCTCCCCAAAATCTCCTGAACCAGAAAGTCTTGGAAAGGAGGAGTTGAAGCCAAAAAGATCCAAAAGGAATCTGTATTCAACTGACATTTCCTGCCCTCTAGATATACCTGCTTCTTGGGTGAGCGATTACACATTACTATTCTGTCCAATGTAATGCATTGCTGTAGTCTTGTCTCAACATAAACTACTCAGGAGTCCAACAAACTTGAAGATTTCACCTATTTGCAGGAGGAGGTTGAAAGTGCTGAGCTATTTCTTTGTTCGACCTAGTCATTCTTGTTGGTCTTCCTGCAGTTTTATTTTATTTTCTCTTTGAAGATCTCTGTATTTGGCTGCTGGCTTACAGCAGCCTATGTAGGGAATGTAGCAATCATGGAGACGTCTTCCAATTTGGAATCACAGTTACTTACAGTGTGTTGGGTTGGGATTTCTCTACTACAGCTATGCTTTTCTAAAGCACAACTTAAACAGCTCTTTAGGTATGCTGAAACTGCGTTGTCCTGCCTAAGCCAACTTGTCAAGGATCTGAAGTGCCAGCACTTGATGCACCATTTCAGAAAGCAATTTTGTGACTCTGCCAGCAGCTATGGTGCTGAGAGTTCTTGCTCTGTTGGAGCCACATCCTTCAATTATGTTAGAGTCCTTTTTCTGTTCAAGATAGTGTTCACTTGCCCACACTGTAACATCCCACTGAATTTTCTGTTGATTTGATGGATGAGGGGGGGCAGAAACCAAAATGGGTTTTGTTAGAGCATGAAGGAAATGAGACAATTTTTTCTCTCACTGTACTTCTGAGAGCATGGAACTGAACAGAGAAGTGAATTGCTGGGCAAGTCATAGCTACAGGGATTTAGGCTAGAAATGTTTTCTGAACACCCCATGTTTCACAAAACGTGCATTAGAATGCTCATTGGAAAATAAGTATTTTAAAGTGAATGCTGCCTTCAGGTTTTCTTTGGGTGTGGGTATTTTTTAAAATAAACAGCATTTTGTACATTTGTCTTATTTGTTCCTTCTGATTAAGCTGCATTAAAACAATCTCTGTATCCTATAGAATCTCTGTATCCTATAGAATTCTGATTAAAAGATAATAAGCAAATGCCATTCTGAAATCCATTTAGGGGAAGAAATATGTCTGCATGGGTCATTGTCAGTCCTGTGTAAAAAGATGAGTAACTTCTGAAATATTTTCTTCAGGTTTCTGTGGAACAGAACAAGAAGGAAAGCGACCATGTAATCATCAAGCGACGACTACGATCCAAAAAACGCTAAATAACCTTGAAGAAGCATGTTTGTTCCACTTAGTCAGGACTTAGTTCTATTATATTGTTATTGTTATACCTGGTTGTTATTGAACGTTAACAGTTGCTTAGTTGTGCTCTTAGGTTTGTATATAGTATAGTATATATAGGTGTATAGTGTCTTCTGACGTTTCAAACTGACTCTTGAAGTTGAAATAAATACCAGTTTTCTTGAATTATGTGTTTGGTGGTTTGTTTTTTTGTTGTTGTTGTTGTGGAGGGGAGAGGGGAAGTTCTTTTTTTTTTTTTTTGCTTCTTTTGTTTTTTGTTTGTTTTGCCTGCCCTGTATAGGAATGGTGTCTTTAGAAGTGTTTGTTATTTACCCATTGTGCAATAGTAATAACATACTTGTTCAGGATGGCCTGAATTGCTGTTTTCAGGTGACTGGTGTACTTAGCAGAACTTTGTGGGAGAGG